TGACCTACATTTTGGGGTTGTTCCTCAGTGAAGTTATCAATAAAACTGCATTTATGGTGGAATTTACAGGGACCTTGAAATCCTTATAACTATACAGATACGGGGCAATGTTTGAGGGAAACTATTATATGCTCTTATTGCAGAGGGTCAGTGCCATCTAAGACAGCAAAGAACTGTATCACCATCACATACATTAAACTGCCTTATGCCCCTGAGAGTAAGCATCATTCAGATATTGTTGCCAGTGAAAGACAGAACAAAATAAGCAGGTCTCTTTTCATTGTGAGGAGTTGACCATCAAGCTGCATGCGCATCCACAGAAAGTTGCAGGAGTTTAAAAACAAAAACAGCGTGGCAATCCTAACAAGCTACATGGACCCCACCTTCTACAGAAACTATTACAAAGCTCAGGCTGGATATTCACTCCCTAGCTATAATGGAGCCCACTTTATATATAGGCCAGTGCAAAGGGAGTAATTTTGTAGCCTGCCTCAAAAACCAATCCCTCTTTGGAGAAGAGAGATTAGAGTAAGACACATATAACAACATACACAGAGCCAAAGATACCCTGGATTGTGTATTATAGATAGCTATATTTGGCAGAGGGCTTTCCCATCCATTCTCTCATTGGCAAAGGGGAGAAACTTGGTGGTGGCTGAGCCTTCCACTGTCTGATAGAGATGACAAAGGGAGTATTTGCACAGGGGGTAGGGAGGGTTCTCTTTTTCTTCGAAGACTTCTTTTAAAATGGATCAGAACTTCTCTGTGCCACTCTGACCATGCCAGTTCCTCTCTGACCCCTTCATTGACTCTCTTTCCATATGAAATTCAAACTCCTAGAAGCACCCACAATTCACCACATGAATATGGGTAACATTTTCATAAATGCTTAAAAAATACTATTCTATATCTCCAGTTCTCATATCTACCTGCTTCCCATTTCATATGCCCATTCCTCTGACCTTGCTGCTCCCTTTGCACCCTGCTGTCACATGCCTTTTCGCCTTCATGACTTGGGCCTGCTTGTTTTAACCTGACAATGTCACTTCCACAAATGTTCTAATTTGTTCTGATTTTTTTTTTAAATTAAATATTGCACCTCAAGTCCCACAAATTAGAAGACATTTACAGAACAATGCAAAATATTATTTGTATAGCGCCCTTTATGCAGGAGCCCAGAGCACTTCACAAATTATAAGCAAACAATCCCACTGAAATGCAATCCCTTTTCTGGAGAGAAGGGCGGCACCTATGCAGCCAGCTGGTGTGTAGTATAGTGCACAACAGCCTGAGGGATGAAGGAAAGAAAATGAACACAAGGAAAAACCACTACTCTGTGTCACGTGATCAACAGTGTCCCCATTCAGCTGAAAGGTTTTCAGACCCAAGCCCAGATTCTTCGCCAGACCGCTAGGCATAATCAACATAGGCTAGCTATGGCTTTTAAGCAGCCACATTCTAGCTGGAGCACAGCAGCACTCTGACCATGTACCTCTCAATCTTGATACACTCCTTATGTCAGGTACTGAGTGGGTGGAAGAGGAACCAGATCTGTGTCACCTGACCTGTGTCGGGGAAATCCACAACTGTGGAAATGCAGCAGCACAAAAGGTCTGGAGTAAACAAGAGAATCTGGCTCCCACACCTCTTAGAATTGCACAAATGCATAATTGTCAGTACAAGTGGCCACTTGACATCTATCCTTTTGTATACAGAATTACAATGATTATTCATGCAACCATAATAAACAAGTATGCAAATCAAGCATGTACACTGTATGCCCTGTTGCATGCAAGCTATTTTAAATTCCAGGCCTGATCCTGGCATTTAGATGACAAATCAAATTGGAGTATTGTGTTTTTATTCCTCTTCATATTCATTTTTAATCCCCAGGTTGTACTTTTCAGCACTGTACATTGTAAACAGCCTGTTCTGATTTGATATGTTGCTGTCAAATATGTTTAATACATTCTTCCTGTAATCAGTGCTTGAAAATGGTTACCACCATTGTTCTTTTAAAAATCACACAGGACTGCAATTTTGGAAACTAATTGCAGCTCATAGTTCACAGATCCAGTAAAGAGAAGCTGAAGGGATTCCCCCCCAAAACCCTTTTAAAATCCTCATCCTGTTCTCAGACAGCCGCCAAAGAAAGAACCTGCTCAATAGAAAGCATTCATTTACACACAGCACCGGGTGCTCTCTGTGGTGTGCAGAGCGGACCTGATAAGTAGGCATGGAAATGAAGAAAGGCTTTCAAACAAATCCAGGGCTTTCATTTTTCTCATGTTTGCCTTGAGCATTAGGCAGCTTTAGAACAACAAAAGTCCACAATTTCATGCAATTTATGATATGCAAAGTAATATTCCTCTTATTTCTTCATACTCCTGTAGAAATAATTTCAGTGTCATCACAAGATGAAGTGGATGTTCAATGTAGCTGTACTTTTAAATTTTGCTATTTGTGGCTATTTTCTGAGTCACACAAATAAGAGTGGATTAAACACTAATTCATGATCGCAGTGTCCCGCTCAAATTGCAAAACACAAAATTTTGTTGATTTTCAATCAAGCTGCCCCCTAACAAGTTTTAAGATTACTTCCCTGGTGGCAACAGCTACTTCTTTGAAAGGCTTACATAGTGTGAACCTCCCCTGTTAGTTGATATAACCTGCCCCAAGCTCAACTGTTCAACTGCCTTGGCACAATCTACCCCAACAAAATGACATTTGGCACATCCCTTAGCTAGTTCAGATGGGCTCACCACTGTCTTTTCAGTCTGTTTTTGTATAGCACCTTGCACAATGGGATCGTGGTTCATCACAAGAGCTCCTAAGAGCTATCACAATACAAAAACCAACCAAAGAAGAAGAGAGGGACCATATGATATGAGTTGGAACATGATATGGTTGTAGGATGTGCCTTATTTCCATTATGTATAGTACTACTATTCATTATAGGTGAAATTCACCCTGTGCACGGGTATTCAACAATGAAGTCCCACTCTAGAATAGAATATGCCAGAAGGCCTCCTCTGAAGCCAGACCCATTGAACTCTGTATAGACAAATGACACAGCCACTCAATTTGCTACTATGTTTTTGTTGAGTTTTGGAACAGCCATAGGTGATTCCACGGTGTAGTCTGAATTCAAGTCTAAAGAACACTTTCCTTTAAGTGGTGTCTAAATATATACCCAGGTGAGCCTCAAAAGAGCCCTAGGACTATGAGCAGAAAAAAACTAGGGAAGGACAGTATTGTATGGGAAAGAGGCCCTATGATAAAAGTCCCTACCCAATCTTTTCATGGGTTTTTAAACATTTAAAACCATTTGGCCTCACTGAGGCCAGGTCTATGCTACAAACATACATAGATATCACTACATCATTGTCCATGGAAGGGCTTCTCCCATCAATATAGCTACCGCCTCTCGCAGAGGTGGATTAACTACGCCGCCGGAAAATGCTGCAGCGGTGCAGTTTCTTAAGTGTAGACCTGCCCTGACACTAGCTGCCCACACCATGTCAGAAGCTGTTTTAGTTGGAGGGATGTTTAAACACAGTTTGTAAACAAAAAGTAAAAACCTAGTGTAGTCTGAGCCTAAGGGGAAATTCTATTTGTTCATCTTGCATATTTCTCTCAATTACCCATGAGCCTTCCCCTACTAGGATCTAAAAAAGTTATTTGAAGTTAGATGACCTAGACATCTGTACAGGGTAATAACAGCTCACTGTTTGGTCTAGCATATTTTGGATATTGGGAGAAATAATGTTTATTATATATCAGAATACCATTTTGATTTGATTTGTGCACGGTAGGCAACATGCTGTACCTGCCTCAGCTGTACAGTAAACAGAATCAGGTTTCAATTATTTCAGCACTGAGAGATCTAATTACAACCTGGGGGTAAAAAAATCCAATCATGTCTGGTTAAATAAACCCTGTATCTTTAATGTTTCTGACAAAGCAAACGGATTCATACAATTTGCACTACAGCTCACCCACTCTCTTGGCTTAAACAACTACAACTGTACTAATAGTATTGCTCTTAGATACACATTCCAAATCTTTAGATTATTAAGAAAAGGCTCAAAGTGGAAGCTAGAGAGAGGCAACAGATATTCAAACTGGAAGCCACTGAGATTCTCTGCGTGTGCATTTCAAAGATTTATTTCAATTACTTCTTAGTCATATTTTGACTACATTATACATATTTCTTTATTTCAGCATTTTTACAGCATTCACTGCTATGATAGCTGGATGTCACACGATAGATTAAAACCAAATACATACAAAGCATATGAGTCACCTATAAGCCATCACTTCCCTTTTTCTGTTGCACAAACTCAGAAGCACTTAAATGTAATGCCATCTGTATGTATATATTATCCACTGCCAAAGGGTGAATTTACTTGGCTTTACTCTAGCTGCTAAACTATTACACAGATGTAGACTCTCAAGTAATCCCAGGACAATCAATACTCAAATGATTAGCCTTAATTTACTAAATCTCATCCCCCAGGACATTAAAGTTTGGGATTTCTATAATTAAAATAATGTATTTGGTCTCCTCTAGAGGTGGGCTTAAAGCAAAAGGCAACATCCAAGCATTCTTGAACTTTGGAGAAGTTCAGTTCTAGTATTCTAATATTTAATGATTGGCCCATCTCTAAGCAGGTCTGAACCCTAGATCTGAACTTGGCACCTTCTCTAGTACTCTCGTTACCAAATCAAAGTAATTTTTGCTTCCACTTGCAATCAATATGGATTTCAACTCTGTCTGCTTTTGCAACTTCTTCCCAGGCCCCCATTTACAGACAAGTAATCATTTCTCAAATAAAAATGGAACTACATGTGTTTTATTTTAACCTGCATTCAGCCAGATCCTTTGCCTGAGGCATTCTACAAACCGATGGCTGCTGCTCATGATGGAGTCTGCAACTCAGCTGTGATTGTATTGGCTGTAATAGACAAGTGAAACATAAAATCATCTAATCTGTTACCTGACCATGGTTGTGAAGGCTTAAATCTAGTCCACATGTAAACTCTGTATGATGCTCCACAGTCTCCAGCAAGGGGTTAGGCTTGGAAAAATCCCAGAATCTACAGAAAGAAACAAAAAACCAAACATTGATGGTAACTGAAAGGGCATTTAAAAAAATATAATGCAGGATATTGATATGCCTGATGCTGCCAGAACCTTTTAAAAACCAAACCCACCCACTTAAGGAATATAATTAATCCCATTTCTGCAAAACCCTCTGCTGATCTACATAAATAAGGACTTCATTAAGGAAAACCATGTTCTTTATCCCATTACGGAAACTGAGATAACAGAGCTGGCACCAATGATCTGCTCTACAGATAATCTGTAAAAAAATGGTAGGCTGGCCTTCTTTATTAAGATCCAATTCCTCTTAATATCTGCCAAGTTATATCTATGACACACACTTCAGGGCAACTCAATTTTTTTTTCCTGCATTGTCTGATGTGGGGCTGTCTGTTTACTGAAAATTACAAATGGGTTATAAATATTGATCGATCCTGACCTCAGGTTTATTTGGGAGCAGACTTCTATAAAACACAATATGCCATTGCATTTTTCTAATTGAATTATACAGTAAAGGAAATTATTTGACTTAATTTTAATTTCACTGATAATTCACTCATCTAAAACTTTTGGGAAAAAAAGTAATTCTAAACTCTTCTATTTCTACGGTTTTAACCCCAGTCACTCCCCAAAACACGGTATGAACCATACTGGGTATAATATAAGCAGTAAAAATTAGTAATAATAGGTAAAATATAGGAAGCAGTGAGGAAGCAGTGTCTAATGGGTTATCATAAAGATTGCTACCTGTGATCTGGAAAAATGCATTCAGTATGTTAGTAAAATTTTCAGATGATTAAATTGAGAAGGACTCTAAATTATAATGAGGACAGAAAAATAATAAAAAGTGTCAAACTTCTTTGATTCTGCGGTATTGTCTACAGGGGAAAAATATGCAGCAAAACCCAGGGGCTGCAGGGTTTACAGGGCTATTGTGGTTTGGCACCTAGTGCCAGTCTCTATACACATTACAGTTTCCCACAGCAGTTAGAGATATTCTTATTTTTTTCTATAATAGGCATGCCACACCCCTGTTTTTTTTTCCTAGTGGGCCTGATAATAATGAATGAGAGAAATAATCATCAGGGCTAGTTACACAGAAAGGACTGTAGGTTCAGCAGATCTATTCAGGTAAACAGCAAACAGTGGAGCTAACAGAATTAGTTTGTTTAACCTGTCTGTGTTATTTCCTTAATAAATGAGCAGAGTGGTATCGACACAATGGCTAAGCCATAGCAACAACCCTCTTTACATCTTCCTAGTACCAGAGAGGCAATATAAACAGCTCATTTTACAGGGAAATGGAAGCAAAAGAACGTCTAAGCACAGAACGAACAATTTCACTGTTAAATTTGTCTGTTCAAACAGATAAGGAAGCAAGTCTTGTAGCTTCTAAGAATTAGTGGTGGCCTTCCTTGTGTTCATTTTGCATTCTCTTTAAATGTAGTTCAAATTTAAGATTCAGAGGGAGCTGTAGATTTTATGTGGAAAGAAATTAAAACAAAACCAGAGCTAAAAGCTTTTTAAAGAATAATAGGACAGTCTAGTTAGTATTAATCTTTTGCTGACATAACAAAATTATGTCAGCAAAAGATCACATATAACATACAATTTCAGAGCCTTACAATCCAGTGCAAGTTTCATAGAAATTAAGGAAGCTATTTTGAACAGACCTACTTGAATATAAATATATCCTAAACACAGGATTACACATGAACTTTAGGTGCCTGAGTATAGGACTTAGAGCCATGAACTCCTGAGTTAACCTTGGCTGGTAGCAATTTACTGGATGATAAATGGCAAATAACTCTGCAGCTCTTGTCCTCTGGTGTCCATGCTTTGTCGTGGCGGGGCAGCTTGCGTGCTCTAACGATCCCCAGAGTCTGTGTCGGTGGGGGCTTTTTGCTCCTGGGAGGTTCAAACATGCCGGATTGGTCTGTGGGGGAGGGGCCGGACAAAACAGATACCCGGGTCCTCCAGGTTGGGGGTTAGGCACAGGGCTAACAACCTATCCCGTAAAAAACAAAATATGTTACGGAAACCGTGACGGAGAAATTGACCATTACTGTGTGTGATGGCCTTCAGGAGTCAATGACCTGTATGAATGCCAGTGGTGAAAGCCGAAAGGAAGACACTGGCATGAAGACTGAAGTGCTCAACACCAAGACAAAAAACAAACTTGTTTTTTGGAACGTATGGACAATGTACGAAACAGGGACGTTAGCTCAGGTCACAGCAGAGATGAGACGCTACAGCTTACACATCCTGGGTGTCAGCGAGAGGAGATGGACGGGATCAGGAAGATTAACAACAGCCTCGGGAGAAACTTTGCTGTTTTCTGGACGGGATGATGGACAATACTATGAGGGTGTTGCCATCCTTTTGAAGAAGGGAGTGGAGCATTCCCTGCTTGAATGGAAATTAATCAGCAGCAGACTTATGAGACCCAGACTGAAAGAGAAACATAATAATATCACCCTGATTCAGTGCTATGCTCCGACAAATGACAGTGATGAAGAAGGAAAGGACAAATTCTACCTTACACTACAGGCGGAGTTAGAGAGAGTACCACGCTACGACCTAACTATTGTCATGAGAGACCTGAATGCCAAGGTCGGTAAGGACAACACAAACAATGACAGAGCAATGGGAAGACATCGGTGTGGCACAATGAATGAAAACTGAGAAAGGCTTGTTGACTTCTGCAATATGAATGACCCAGTCATCGGCGGAACCCTATTTGAACATCATGAAATTCACAACCTGTCATGGTGTTCTCCAAATGGCAGAGATAAGAACCAGATTGACCATATCATGATCAATGGCAAATGGCGACACTCACTGACAGATGTGAAAGTGAGAAGAGGTGCAGATGTTGGCAGCGACCACCACCTTGTGGCAGCCTCCATCAAGCTAAAACTGAGAAGTGTGGGTCGACCAAACAAGGGTCATAGACGTTATGATATTGACAAGCTAAAGTCCCTTGAAATACAGAAAGCCTTCGTTCTGCAGTTAAAGAAAAGGTTTCAAGCACTTGCAGACCTTGATGAAGAGGAGGGAATGCAGATGAAGAGATCAACAAGAAGTGGGACAAAGTAACAGCAATTTATAAACAGAGCAGTGAAGCCTGTCTAGGCTACAGGCAGAAGAGAAGGAAGGAGTGGATTACACCCAGCACAGGGAACGCCATAGAAACCAGATGAGCCCTGAAGAAAAAAGTTTTAGACACAAAATCCCAGAAACTGAAGAATGAATACCACGAGCAGTATAGCAAGGCACACCGGGAGGTCAAATGCCTTGTGAGAGCGGACAAATGGCATTATATTGATAATCTGGCAACACAAGCAGAGGATGCAGCTGCTTGTGGTGAACAAGGAACCGTCTACAAAATGACATGGCTTATCAGTGGTAAACGGCAGACACCAACAAACACTCATCAGGAACAAACAAGGACACCTACTAACAACCGTGAAAAAACAAGAAATGCGCTGGACAGAGCATTTCAAAGAATTGCTGAACAGGGAGCCACCTAAAGAAGAAGCAATCATCCACGAGGCAGAAGAAGAACTTGATATCAACACAGACACCCCAACTAAGGAAGAGATCTTTCAAGCCATCAAATCCTTAAAAAAAATGAGAAAGCTCCTGGCAAAGATAACTTGAATGCAGAATTGTTCAAGGTAAATCTTAAATTAGCAACATCTATCCCCTCTATTTACATCAGTCTGGGAAAGGGAAGAAGTGCCAGATGAGTGGACCAATGGGATTATAGTGAAGAAACCAAAGAAAGGAACTCTCCGTGATTGTAATAACTGGTGTGGTATCACACTTTTATCTGTGCCAAGCAAAGTACTGTGTAAGATCATAGTCCAGCATATATCAGAAGCAGTTGATAGCGTTCTCAGAAAAGAACAAGCTGGTTTTCGGAAAGGGCATGGATGCATAGACCAGATCTTCACTCTACGAAACATAATAGAACAGTGCTTAGAATGGCAACGGCAACTCTACATACATTTCATAGACTTTGAGAAGGCTTTTGACAGCATTCACAGGACCAGCCTATGGCGCATTCTGCAGGCATATGGAATTCCTTTCCGTATAATCAACGTCATCAAAAGCTTTTATTTCAACTTTACATGCAGTGTTGATCACAGTGAGCTCAGTTTTGAAGTCAAAACAGGAGTATGTCAGGAGTGTGTCATGTCTGCAATCCTCTTCAACACTGCCATCGACTGGGTAATGCGGTGTACAACAGAAGACATGCCAAGAGGCATTAAATGGACACTCTTCTCATCCCTTGAAGACCTGGACTTCGCAAATGATGTTGCTCTCCTATCACATATCCAATACCACATACAAGAAAAAACAACTCGATTCAACGCATTCAGCCAGCAAATTGGACTGAAAATCAATCGCAATAAGACAGATATCATGACCTTTAATATTGCCTCACCATCACCAGTCCGGATAGATGATTATGTTCTCACCAATGTAGAAACATTTACATTCTTGGGCAGCACCACCAACCAGGATGGTGGAACAAGCCAGGACATCCAGAACAAAATCAATAAAGCCAGGAACACCTTCAGGAGCGTAAATACAGTCTGGAAATCATCGTGTACTTTCAACACTACTTTATAGTGCATAATGCTGGGGAGTGAGAACGTATGACATGTCCAGACTGTCTTCATTCCATACAACCTGCCTCAGAAAAATCCTCCGTATCTTTTGGCCCAGAACAATCTCAAACCAAGATCTATTGACACAGTGCAGCCAAGAGGATCTGAGCACCATCATTGCCAGGAGGTGTTGGAGATGGATCGGTCATGTGCTTCGGATGGAAACTGATTCCATCACCAGAGTAGCAATAAGATGGACACCGGAGGGCAAGCGAAAATGAGGCCGCCCGAAAACAACATGGCGAAGAGCTGTGGAAGCCGAGCTGAAAAACCTGGGGCACAGCTGGGGAACCATTGAAAGACTTGCCAGAAAC